ACCTTTAAAAGACACCTAGCTCTTTTTGGGGAGATAGGCTAGGGAGTACGGTGGGCACCTTCAGCACCATCCAGGATTAAGGTTCAACATGTATAATTTAGTAACTTGACAAGTCTGTCAAGTCTGACACAGTAACTCGACTGAAGTACTCGCTTACTACACCATACCTAAACGGACCTTCCCAATTCGTGTGTTCGCAAAATGAATGTATTTTGTATAGCCATTATTATTTACTCTGTATTTTAATGAGGTTTGTATGTAGAGAACATATTGTACTGAGAAATTCAGTACTTTGGCACAAACCGAATAATTGGGAAATGAGAATCAATATACCATTTGGGGTTTGTTTCAGAACAAATAAACTTGAAATATAAACGAAAAGGGCTGAAATATTACATTTTAATATATGTAGTTCCCTCGTTTGTTAAAAAGTATTTATAGGTATTCAGTATCTATTTCAAAAAATACACAATATCTAATACATATTACAGAAAAAACAAAAGACACTGTTTACCAGAACACCACACAATAAGCATATAATTATCACTAATGAGAACCTGTTAATAAAATAATTGCATAATATAAAATCAATTAGGACAACAAAGGCTTTAATCGTTAGGTATTGTGTGTGGATTATTGCCCTACAATGCTGCCGATATCCATAATACATGAGCATGGTAGGTAATCCAGATCCACTCCATCCATGGCATACATATTCCATTTCATAGTGATGTTATATAAATGCACAAAGGGTAAGAAAATAAGGTCTGATTTCTGGAAATCATTGTCTGTTTTATCGTTCTGCGGTTTTATATGTGCTATTTAGAAAATTGTCTCATTAATTTTGTTGATACTATTTAACAGGATTTTTCTTCAGATTATGGTGTTTCATTCACCGTAGTGTGGTGTCAACATCACTGCCGATTTATTAAAAAAAAAACCGTTTGACCCCAACTTCTTTTGCGTAATTTGTATCAGCGTCAGAATAAATAAAGAAAGCAGTCAGCGTCAAAATTATTAAACAAACCGAAAACATACGTACTTATATAAATAAGCGCAGAACGAATGTCTGAGCCGCGTTTTGTATTAAAACATTCAACTTGACATTGCATTTTAGATAAGAATCTAGAATCTAGCTTATGTGAATCTTAATAAATGTCTTAAACTAAATCCGTAAAGCTACATTCACAGTACATAAAGCTCAGTAACTTACATTCAAGGGATGGGACAAGTTATCCTAATCCCGGGAATTTGACAAGGAACCTTCGTCACTGTCCCGGTGTTTATGACGTCAATGGGCATTCGTTTAAAGCGAAATATCCGACACTGAGACTATCTTGTCAAATGTCCCGTCAGTAGTTTAACAAGGCAGCCTTCCCGGGAACCTGTTACAAACAGGAACTGTAAGGGTTGGCTGAGGTTACCCAATGTAATTGTAAATGGTTTATTAATTATCAAAGATTTGCTAATCGAGTCCTTTACTCATTTTGTATTATGTTCGCATTGGAACTAAACTAGATTTCTCTGTGTTGCATACAAACAATTTCCATTCAGTAAAATACACAAATCATTGCATTTTCCGCACTTTGTCAAAAACTCCAACTTCCAGTCACCCGGACAGACTAATGAATGTTCGTGCATTCAATAACGTTACAACTTCATTCCGGGACACGACCCCGGGAATTTACTTATCCGCTTCACGGGAATGAAAAATGTCCGGCATTCCCTCACGTACCGGGAACTCCACCAAAACGAGTTTCAATTAAAAATTGCGATCCGTTTAACAATCTATTTATAGGAATTTTCTTGTAGTTTGCGTGTGATGACATGAAAAGTAATTTATTACGCTCAGATTAACAATTATGTTTTTTTATAATTTTCATGTAGTACGTCAACGTTGTTATAAATGGTCCAATGAATATTAAGATGACATTAACATAATTACTATTAATGTTATGCATGTAAATCTTCATAAATGCTTTGAATTTCAGTATATCTTCGCCACATCCAAACATGTATGCAAATGAATTAAGTTAATCGATTGGCGTCTAGCGTCAATGTCTGGCCAGGGGTCTGTTCATAGAATGGGTATAGTATTATTCGGTTTTCCTTTTAGACATTTTCCTGAAATAAGTAACTCGGGAGTCCAGTAAAAAGTTGGATCGTCAAATAATCAACCTAACACATAAAGTTGCAATCTAACATAATCGTAATAATAACCAGATAAAAGTTACCGTACCGTACAACTTATAAGTACAAGTCCACGTTTCGTGGGATTAACATACGTAAATCATGCACCTAACACGCGGAGAACCTAACAGGTTACCGGAGCTCCGGCTCGAAGTGCAGGAGTAGGAACGGGGTGGTTTTTAGTCAGTAAGAGTCTGACACTGCCTTCCTCCTCACCCAGGCGTGAGAAGTCATTCGATGATTTACCCCATTAAAAATCGCCCGAATACTGAAAGGCTACTCATTAAGTTGTACTTAAATATCGTGCCATCTCTGTTATTTTACAAAAAATCTGTAGTGACAGAACTATACCTGATCACGACTTAAATATGAGTGACGTTTGAGGATTAATTCACATAAACATCCTGTACATTACACCATCGCATCCAACCCTAATACAAGACATTTATAATATACAAAGGTTCGAATGAAATAAAGCCAATCCCGGACTCGCACAATATGCGGGAACATCACTTTTTACCGCACCTTTTATGTGCATTGTTGAACAAAACCGTAAATCTTTTGAAGTTTTATGAAGTATGATTTTTAGAATAAAAGGGAGGCTTTCAGTAATGTTGGTTAATCAGAGTCAAGGTTGAATATTTATCTCTAGAATAGATTGTGATGTTACGTTTGTTACCATAAAAGGTAGTAAGTGGGCCACTACGTCCTACTACTAGGCAGTTGTCATTGCTATTTATGTAAAACTAGCTTCTGCCCGCGACTTCGTACGCGCAATCCTGATATTTCCCGTTCCCGTTCTTGATTTTCGGTAAAAAGTAAAAAAAAAAGAATTGGGTAAAAAGTATCATATGTCCGTCTCCTGGTTCTAAGCTACCTCCCCACCAATTTTCATCCAAATCGATTTAGCCATTCTTGAGTTATAAATAGTGTAACTAACACGACTTTCTTTTATATATATAGACTATTCTCATTACATAGTGTCTGATGTTTCAAGTCAAAAAAAACGCACCTATTATTTTTTTCGTCATAAGAATTCCTTTAACATGTCTTCGCTATATGGTACTATAGCACCTTAAACATGTTTGTCACAACTAAAATATTTATTCCCTGATATAATCGTTGTTATTTTTGTAACTTACTATATTATGCACGCTGGTTATATTCTGATTTGAAAGTCAAAACACCACATTAGTAGTGACCCAGTGGGGTGCGGTATTCCGTATTATTCGCCATCAACATTTACATATTTTACAGCTTTACGCATTCTCTGTTAGGTAAAATTAAACCGAAATAGTAAAAAGAATCTAACATAAAAAACAATACACACGGGTCAAGAAAAATAGTAGACTTAAAACTGCAAGAATGTGCATTATGCGTATTGTATTTTTTTTTTAAGGGGGGAAAATCATCGAATGACTGCTCCCGCCTGGGTGAGGCGGAAGGGAATGTCAGACTCTTACTGACTAAAAACCACCCCGTTCCTTCTCCTGCACGTCGAGCCGGAGCCCCGGTTACATGTTAGGTTCTCCGCGACATGCGTATTGTATAGAAGAGTATGATTCTTTTGTAAAACTTGATGTTACTTTAGTTTTAAAATGAAAGGTCTAACTCCACTCAAAAATCAAGGCGCGCCTGCACGTTACACACTATGTGCAACAACAGTGTTGCTGACGAAAGATTTTTCTTAGAGAAAAAAGCAAAAAGAATGAAGATTGATTGTCAATCACTGACATTTTCCATAACCTTTTAATGCATTGAGTCCAACATTCATGATGAGAACATTCTCACACCTATATCTAAATGAACATCTACTCTAATGTTGTGTAGAGATTTCCAATCGTGGCAGACAAGATGCACATAATTTACTCTTCGATAGATCAATCATAGCTTAGTCAGCGGATAATAAAGTCTAGTTTCACCGAGTTCTTTTAACACATTGGCTATTAGGTCGTAAATTAAAAGATCTATAAAATTTGTAGTTTCTTACAATAAAAAACGATTACAAGACTTTGTAACTACTTATTATTGTTGTTTTAAAATGCTTTCACTGGATATAAAGACTACATTGTCTAAACACCCAATAGAATACCTATCATAAAACAAAAAATCAACACCAAAACAATTCCAATTCCTAAATTCCTAGAATCGTATGAAAATCACAACCACAAGCATTCCGGAACTGTATGTATAACAAATCCTACATAAGTGGTTGCCGGTTACCTATTACCATTAAGCATGGGGTCTCGCTCTACTGCCTCTTGTTTCACCCATAAGGTTAATCAGTCACCATGGCGTACCATGTGGTCAGTCGGTGGTTCCTTCCGATGCGACGTTTCCATCGGGAAAGCAAATGCGCGTGTAATTAGAAGAAACGAGAGCGAAGCGATTTCCGAGGTGGATCGCGCAACAATTAGTAGCCCGTTGAAGACTGAATGCAAGGTACAAGATGATAGCGGGCTTAGTTTTAGTGAAATTTTGGAGACAATAGATTGATGTATTTATCAATATTACGTAGTAAACTAACGTTATTTTTTAAAATTATTTGCGTTATTACATAACTAATAGAGACCTTAGTACTTTCAATAAATAGTTACCGTGATAAAATGATATACACATAAAAAACATAAATATTTTACATTCCACGTCAAAAGTTATAAATATGTTTTTTTTTTTGAGGATTATTTACAAATAGTGACACAACTGAGTCTACAAAAGAAAATTTCCCCTTCAAAAATAAGAACAAATCATCAACAAAATAAACCAAAAAAGTCGCTATAAGCTTCTAACACAAACTAATTAACAATAACGTAGATTGGACGCGTGCGGTGCGCATGCGACGGTACGCTTCACATTCGCGCCGCGAGCCGCCCGGGCAATACGTTGCGGGCTATCGTAAGCACCACGGCACCCTGAACCTTCCACCTTGAACCTCTCCATACCAAACAGTATCACGCGCTTGATAGCCTAATAACAAAAAAGTCTTCAGTAAAAAAGTCATCGTCACTGTTCTAGTGTGGGGTGTCGTTGGTGGCGTGTGTCATCAGTGACGGTGTGTGTTGTGGAATGGGGTAGCGATGGGGGCGGGACACAGCGCTGAGGGCGACGGCGGCGCGTACGCAAGCGACCCGCCCGCCCATGACCGGCGTAAGACACATAGTAGGAGGCGGAGGTGAGTTTATAAACTATACCACCCAAGATAATGTTCCTAAAACATAGTGTAAGTACTCTAGACACTTAATTATAGCACTTAATTTCAGGCAATTTACTATACAGATGCAAGATACGAGATCTGTAACAAACTACTTAGGTAGTTACCGGAACGGTAACGTGATCTAATACAATAGTTGCATTAAATTAAATTTTATCTTCGTAGATGGCGCTGCGATCGATTTTGATCGCCCTATAGTTTAGCTTTATGCATCAAATACTAGCGTTTATTATGGTTTTCGTGCATTAGCTTAATATGTGAAAGGTCATAAAGGTTATGGAGTTTCTTCACAAAAATATACCGTAATAGTACCCATATTTACTTCATAGATATAACGGTCCTACAGTCGTAAACATAGTTGTATATAAAAATACCTACATTAAAAACTTGAAACAAGTGAAAGAATTCAGTTTTAATTGAAGACGCAATTATACGCGAGACTTTTAACTGGAGAAAAGATTGTTGGCATTACTGTAAAGTTATTTTAGTCGTACATTTATAGACAGCGGAGGTAGTTAATTAAAAACAACGCACAATTTCTATAAATCTCAGTACCTAATACTAGAAATAGGTTAGTATTCAAAGTATCATTGATATTTCTGTCGTAACCATTGGCTGAGTATACAGTTTCTGGCTAGCCATAAATTCAAATTTGAATATGGAATGTAATTTGTAAGACGTATTCAGCCAGTTTAAAATTATAGGGTGCTGTGAAACTGGCCTGTCATGTTTTAAAACGACAGAGGCGACATCTTTTACGGAACGATGTATTTTGCTTCATATTTCAATGAAGTCTTCTAGAGATGAATTCAGTATGATAACTTTGATTCGCAATTAAGAGTAGATGTTACTTTCAGTATACCTCTTTAATGTTGAGGAGATGTAACGTGAAAGTCGAATAAGAAATAACGTCTGCATCTACATAGAAACGCATAATAATAAAGATCATCCAAACAAGATAAAATAGACATAGTTGAAATACTATGTAACTAAAATTATTCTACACTCCTTAATATCACATTAATCATACGCGTTCACAAACCCTATAACTTGGCAAATACCTATTTTCGAAAAACCAAATCAAACTAAGAAATATTTAAACATTCTGTCAAAATAAGCATGTCAATCCTGATTGATAGATTGAATAATTTAACAACCAATCAGAGCTCCCGACGTACAAGTGATTCATTTGACAGGTCGTTTATTGAGTTCAAAAAATATTTTGGCTTTTACAAGATAAACGTATAATTAGTTTATGTACGTACATAATTAATTATACATTAAATAGATTGGTCTGAAAACTTAACGAACAATACTTCTACTATATCAATACAGTCTGACAATATAACATGAATATCAGTAAGTACGAGTAATAAAACAATCTGTACAGGGATTTAAAGTAAATTCCTTTTATTTATTAATTAATTCCTTTGATAAAATGATTCAACCTAATCTTACACTGTATTCCAGTTTCAATAAGTATTTCAAAATGAGTAATTAATAGTTGTTTGTTAACCATACTTCTAACTACCATTAATCTTAAGTGTGGGAGAGCCATGTCTCGGCACGAATGGGCCGGCTCGACCGGAGTGATACCACGGCCTTACAGAAAAACGGCGTGAAACAACGCTTGCGTTGTGTTGCCCAATTCCCAAAAGGCCGGTAACGCACTTGTGGCGCCTCTGGTATTTTAGGTGTCCATGAACGGCGTCGATTGCTTACCATCAGGTGATCCGTCTGCTCGGATACTGGCTTATCCCATAAAAATACTTTATAACCTTTGCAAATTATTTGATTACCTTTGCAACTTACAACATAGTCCGTCAAATGTTGTAAAATATCTACCACAAACAAAAGAGCGTGAAACTATTTACGCATTCTTGACGTCCGTATTAAGATTTAAGATAGAAGATTGGACAATAAATCACAATAAAATACTCTAAATATTAAGCACGAATGTTCAAATTAGCGTGGCAAGTTTCATTACGGTGAATTATTAACGGATTGGTCTTAATGATTTAGTCTTCAATCATGCTTTCGTAAATATAACCGGTGGAATGTGAAACGGTGCAAATGTGTCCAGTAATAACTAGGTAATGTAAACAAAACAGGACATAATTACTTAAACATTAGGTTTTGTTTAGAATGGAGGTGTTGAATGTGGTTACGACTTTTGTTTTCATGCTGGGATCAATATTGAGACGTGTTCTTCATGAAGTTTCTATGAAGGGGCTTTGATCTCAAAATAGAACATCAGTAAGCAATATTTTTCATAATAAACTAATGACGCGACAGTTTCACGCAAGTTATAATTTGCTCCTTATCAAAAGTAACTGTATATTTTATAACATTTGAAGCCTGTGGTGGTTTAAATTACCATCCTGACGATAAGCTGGTAAGAGACCAAAAAAACAAGTCACTTTTAGCTATACTTATTTCTTCCCTTTTATTGGTCTATCAAAAAGACAACACTCCATTCATAATTTTAGCTTGACAACCCAAATAACACAACATAAAAATCAACAATAGTGAAAATCGGCGGCCATCTTGCGAAACATTATGTAAGGAAAGTAATAAATCATTAATACAGAACTTGACAGGTCAAGGATATTGTCTGGACTCGGTCTAGACTTATTATTAGTGCTGGCAACTTGCCAAGTAATTATTTACACATTTTACTAGGTGAATACTAAGCGATTAGTGATCTAAGGTAGGTGGGGTTAGGGATCAAAATTGTTTGAGTTTGGTTAAGTTATATAGAGTTAGAATCGTGGCTGATGGTGATAAGTTATTTTATTGTTAGGAAGTGTTTTTATCAGTTATGCGACTATGTAAAGGAATTGATTACAAGGAAGATGCACATACGCCGAGGGGTTAGGGCGAGTTTGCTTTATGTTCACGTGATTGGCACGTTTATGACGGTTGGCGCTCTGATTGGCCAGGTTCAATTAACGAACCAATGAAAGGGCTAAACGTGGCAGCGATTCGATCACGCTAACAAAAGTATACTAGGTCCTAAGTTCTTTACTAACTGAAGGTAAAACAAACTCAATCACCAATTGACACATATTTTATTTAACCTTCTTTCATAAGTACACATTTATTCATTCCAAATGATCTTCAACACACATAAAATAATAACCAATAAGATACCTTCAAGCATAATTTATTTGATAAGGTTATCAGGGAGGCATCCCCAAGGCTCACTCTGAAGGTACATTACGTATTCACCGAGTTACCAGCGAATTTAATTAAGTAGCCAAAAGTGTTTGTAATTTAGATTTAAATAAAATATCCGAAGCGTTGAATTTTAACTAGTTTTCATTTCTGTAAATATTTATTTAAAATTTTAGATTTTATCCATGGTTCCATAATTGAGAACGTAAGTGGAACAAGCACCTTTGTCAATAAATAAAAACCAGGAAAAGTTATTGTAGGTAATAGAATAATTTGCACTATCAATATTTTTGGACGAAAAGCTAAATAAGTTGTTTATAGTTCTAGATTTATGTATTTATTTCAGCCAAAAAATTCAATTCGTATTTTTTTTGATACAAAGTTCAAAAATTAAAGAAGAAAGAAGAAAGAAAGAAAGAAAGATAAACCTTTTATTTTGCTACGACACACAACAAGAATTTAGAAACACAAAAAACCCTATGGTGCGTCGCAGCGCAAAAGGCTGGATTTTTAAGAGCGTGGTGTTAAGTAAAATACAATAACAATAGCCAACCAAACAACATTTCAAATAAAAAGTTACACACATTTTAATGACAAAACTTGTCAAGAACAAGAGAACGACAACAAAAGAACGATTATTAAAAAAAAAATTTAAGCAGTGAAAAGTTTGTCGTAATCCGGAACGCTAACTTCCTTACAGTTTTCCACGAAGCTCTTTCATTAAAGAGAAAAAATGAAATTTTGTAAATTTTGCCCCGAGGATGCAGAAAATGGACACAAACTTTATCCTTAATCTCAGATACACGGCCATTATAAAAGCTAATTTAGGAGCATAAATAGCCCATAAGAACTACTTTAATAATCCAACATTTCCGCAGATAAAAATAACAAAACCAAAGAATATGTACAAAGGATGTGCTAATGCAAAATTGCCCTATTTCTAGCTTTAAAGGAAATGATCAGCTCCAGACTGTATTTTTTACTGTCCTTTAAGGTCACTTTTTTCGATCTCTTTGACTGTATTTTGGTGTTACATTGTTCTCGCACAATCCAAACAACAAAACTATGTAACAAGAGAATTGTATTGTGATCCTGTTAGAAAACGAGTAACCTATGGAGTCTCTTGCTCGTTCTTCTCCATAGGAATCTACGCCTTGGAATGAGCAAATAGCTTTACTTTTAATTTTTATGTTGACGTTCAAAAGTGCCCTTCTGGTCTAATTGAAATAAATTATGTTGACTTAGACTTTGATCAATTAATTTCTGTTGGTTAAATCCGTCGACCATACAAATGAAAAAGTATTGAAATACATACAATAATTGGGCAACAGTATCAAGAGCAAGTGACAGTTCATAGATGGACGTCACGTCATCTACACAATAAGAGAGTTGGCGATGGAGATTTTAGTTCAAAAGCGTCAAACTCATCAACGAGCGCTACTACCCGGTTTCTGCCGTCGCGGAGAACCTAGCGGGTTACTGAGGCTCCGGCTCGACGTGCAAGAGAAGGAACGGGGTGGTTTTTAGTCAGTAAGAGTCTGACACTCCCTCTCGCCTCACCCAGGCGGGAGCAGTCATTTGAAGATTTTTCCCCCCTTAAAAAACCCCGATTTCTGCCAAAATGAAATCCCATAGCTAATGTGCTGAGGGATTAAGAATTCTTAAGGCACCCGATAGAAGAGATGAGATGGTCACATAACTATATACTCTACCATCATTAGTAATCATTACACGTCTCGGATCATCAGCTACAGACACATAATCAAAAGTTTTTAGCACTCAAACAAAAACCCCATGTATCATTTTTTAAGATGACTCAAATAGAGACATTAACGAGTATGCGGAATGTAATAAGTTCCTAGTAATGTTGTAACTGAAGCAGTTACATGCACATGTTCCGAGCTGGTAACTTGAAGTTTCGTCATTAAGACCTAAATGTCTGGGATTGTTTCTAGATTTCTGTGTATCTGGTTTTAGTGTTATTATTAGACATAATATACGTTTGTCTAAAATATGTTTCTACAGGCGCCATTTGCTAGTAAGCTATTAAATGTTTGATAGTATTTGAGGTAGGTACGGGCAATATATTGTATAGGTTTCTGATACAATTTATTATTTTCCGATTGAGTAGTTAAACAGCCTTAGCGTGCCGAACTACAAGTGGTCCTATCCAAATGTTTTCATTTGGTAATTATTTACTTTCATGAATTATAATAATTACTAATATATGACAAGTGTTCGTCGCAGACAAGTTTTGTCATTCAATTCCAGGGCAAAGAAAGGGAGGCTTTATTTTTTTAATAATGAATACATCTGCAAAGAGGCTAAACGTTGCACATCTCTAAAAAGCCAATAGAATATACTGAAAAAAGCACTACTAGTTTCGAACCACAGAGGGGTTCTTCCTCATAGTAAAGCTTTTATCAGTATATTCACTTGAGTAACCCAAGATTTTAATTAATTTAGTATGTCTCACGATAGTTATTATAAAAACAACACAATCTAAACAAAAAATCCGCACTATTCTAATACCAAAGTAATAAGCTAATGCACCTGTCTCAAAACTGAGCAGACACATAAGCAACTTTATATTTAAAATACATCATCGGTTGCACTTACTTGCATACAGATGAAGTACATCTGTTTATTCATAGCACATTTGCGTGTTGTCTAATCATGAGTACAATTTCACAACAGTCTGCACTTTTTCATAGTACTTCACTGTGAATAAACATTGAATAAATTATATTATCGATGAATCATTTACTTGATATTTAACTGTATTATTTGTTTATTACTGACAGTAATCTGTATGGTTTGTGAAGTTCAATAACTGAAGAAATTAATTGCTGTTTTACTATGAGGCGGCTTCGACCCTTAAGTAAACTAATTTCTTTTTTTTATACTTGATAGGTTGATGTTTGGTCATCATCTTCCTGGTAGTGTGGTCCCGATGCTAAATAAATAAGCAAAACTAACAATCATAAGCACGCGTAATGCAATAGAAAATAACAGCTTCTCTCAATTTTAAATGGTACTAAACTTTATTCATATTTTTGTGTATCATATCATCGTTAAGATAAATTATAAACATCCTCATGTTTGCAATCTCTAGATTAATAAATTTCTGGATCTCGGATCCGATAAGCTAGACCAATATGAAACCGGCAACGTACCCGACATATGATCTATATTGATATTGATTGATATATGATGTCTATATATGATCCTTAGATCATAGTGATCTAAGGATCATAATATAGACAGCAGACTTATCCATAACAGCTTCACTAAAAATCAGCCATGGACTAACCCATTAAATGCAGCTTAATCACAAAATAAACATTGTAATAATTACTGCGGACGACAGCTCAGCAATTTTGTTCAATAAACGCTTCCTCATAAAAATTATGGTACAATCAGCATCGGAGCGTAGAGTCTACCACTCAAGAGATCTATGCAATCTTAACGAACGTCCAGCCAGATGCGCACGCGCACCGGTATAGAAACAATTGGAGCATAGCCTAACTGAACGTGTGTTCACACCGTTATCAACGTTTTTTAGCTATCAATATGGAAAATGCTACCGTATATAGTAATTATAGTTGAACTTTCTAGTGTTAATTGTAATTTAATTGATGTTTTTTCAAGTTGTCACGCTTATAATGGGTTGTTTAAAAAGTAAGTGCTATTTTTATACACGTCGTCACCATACAACCTTTTTTATGTTGTAGGTGCACTTAAAAATATGAAAATTAAAATACACATCACACCCAAACCCGGAACAATAATTTATCAATCACATAAGCAGCTGTCCCGTGCGTGAATCAATCAACAGCGCCACAGCAGCAACATCAGATGATCAGAGCATCATCACTACATAGTATAAAACAAAGTCGCTATCCGCCGTCTGTCTATCCCTATGTGTGCTTAGATTTTTAAAATTACGCAACGGATTTTGATGCGGTTATTTTTAATAGATAGAGTGATTCTTAAGGAAGGTTTATATGTATAATACACGTATATTGCACCCCTATTTGCAGGTCGGTGCTGATCGCTATTTATGTCATAAAGCATCCTCTGTACCTTTTACAATTCTAAGTCACATAATAGTATTTTGAAAATCTTTAAGCATACTTCAATAATGTATCCTATACGACCATAATAAGGAACATTATCTAGTGGAACATTGTGAGTAATCAT